TCTGGCTGATGAGAAGGCTCACTGGGTAAAGGCACTTGACACCAAGCCGGATGACCTGAGTTCAATTCCTGGGGCCCACATGGTCAGAGAGAAAATGACCCTCTAAGTTGTCCTCTGGTCTCCACAAATGGGCATGTGTGTGCACATAACACTAAATAAATACATGTTAAAAAAATGTCTGCCATCAAGGCAGGGTGAGTATTCATCAGCTCTTGTGTGTATTTGTGCCTGTATGGATCTATCTGTGTCTTTGCACATGTGTGTGTGTGTGTGTGTGTGTGTGTGTGTGTGTGTGTGTGTGTATGAGCACGTGTGCATGTAACTCCTTGTGACAACATATATGTGGTGGGCACATGCATTTATACTGCTAGTATTAATGAAACTATGAGCGCGTGTGCATGTATGTATGTACACATGCATGCATGGTTGTATGCTTGCGCACAGCAAACATCTTTGCACCTAAGTAGTGCAGTATATGTTGCATGTGTTGTGTGATTATCTGTGTGCATGCATCCCCATGTGCTTCATGCATGTGAGTCTGGGCATGCACGCTGCCTGGGTAAGATCAGAAGTGATGTGGTTAGCCAGGGCCTGTGGTGGCTGTGCCAGCTGGGAGGTGAGGTCCTGCCTCCCTCCTGAAGTTTGATTTCACCCCAGGAAGTGCTTATGTGTGACTCACCCACCAAAGGACTTCAAAGCAGCCAGGTGGTGGGAGGTCTCCAGGATCCCAGGCTCCAGGGCAGTTCTTCATTCCCGTGCTAGTCCTGGGAGGCTCCTTAACCTGTCCTGTGCCACGGTCCCCTTAGCACCTGGTGTGATTATCATTCACCAGCATGCTGTAAATGACGGAATGGAAAGCATGGCTCTTGAAAGACACTGGTTACGATCAAGTGCAGTAGCTGCAAGGTCAAAGGATCACCGCGCTTGTGACATGGTGATCCTTGGGCTTTCTTACCATGCACAAGTGCTGGGTTGGAGGTGCGGGGTCTCATGACTCTCCAAGTGGGCTGCCAAGGTGAGAAGAGCCGATAGTCCATGACATGGAGGAGGCTGGCAACAGGTCCACACTACTGTGAGGCATCTCTCCATTCATTCCTAAAGGAGGCACCATTGCCCTGAAGGCGTCTGTTCTCTCCTTTGGCCATGGAAATCAGGTTCTCAGGCTTCATGGCAAAATCTTTACCCACTGATCCACTTTTTCTGGACCTGATAAAATATTAGTTCATGAAGTCTTGTTGTAAGTGTAGCTTAGAAATTACTTGGAGATTGACTGTGACGGATGAGCACCTCGCTCAAGGTCCTGCGCTTGCTTGCAGGGCAGAACCCTTAAAGGGTTTCCTTGTTTGTTCTGTTTTTCTGAGACAGGGTCTCTGTGTGTGTCCCAGGCTAGCCATGAAAACTTGGCCCTCTTACTGCCAGGCCCTGGACCATGCCTGGGTTTACGGGCATGTTCTGCTAAGTCCCATACTCAACACTTTTAAAGAAGTTGGGGAGCTGGGGAGATGGTATAGTTGATAAACTGCTTGCCACACAAAGGTAAGCACCCGAGTTTGGATTGCCAACATCATTTTATAAAGTGCTAGGTTCAGCAGCCCACCTCTGTAATCTGAAACCGGACAGAGGGTCCCTGGGGCTCACTCACCAGGTTCAGTGAGAGACCCTGCCTCAAAATGATCAACAACAAACCAGAGTGATTGAAGAAAACACCCAGTGGTGACATATAGTCTTCACATGTACCCCCCAACACATGTGAATGCACACAAACACACGCATTATGTTTTCTTTGCACGTTTTGTGGGTTCTCCAGTCATAGGTATGGATGAGAGACCCCATGGAAATCCCGGGGAAACCATAGAGGTCCCTAGACCTGGGTGCAATCTCTAATGGAAAGGGGCTCCTCCCCAACCCAGGCCCAGGCTCCCCTTGGTGTAGCAGATTCCTGTGGAATGTGTCTGCATTTCCAGAGCTGTAAATGAAAGTGGGGGTTGACTCTCCTCCCCTGGGGTGTCCTGTGGCTCTCAGACCTTCCTGTGAAGAAGCTTTGGTGTAGGCTGTGGGAATCAGTCCACAAAGACCACCAGCCCCCAGCCATGCCGGGGAAGCCAAGCACAGACCCCTCCCTGCCATTCCCAGGAGGCAGTGGAGGGGGTGGGGGAAGGTGTCAGGGAAGACACAGGTGCAGTGGTGACTGGCTGTCCCTGGGGAGTGAAAGTTTCTCCTTGGGACCCAGGGTACCTGGTGTTTACCCAGAAATTAAGCTAATTCCACTAATTCTCGTGAATTATGAAGACTCTTGCCTCAGTCCCCTGCCTTCTTCTCCTGTGGCAGAGGAAAGGGGGGGGGGTCCTGCCTGGGCTGTTCTCTCCATCACCCACCCCCTTCCTGAATCCCAGGGGCTTGTGTGTGTAGCTGCGCCTTTCGCTCGGAATCTGCCGCCACATCCTAAGCGCTGAAGCTCCAAACCTTCTGTGCTCATACCCTCATGGGCCTTTTCTTGGGGTGACTATCACCCCAGGACTTCTAGGTCAGCAGAGAACCAGACTGGGGGCCCGCTCTGCCGCTTCTCTGGGAAGTGGCCTTAGGCAGCTCCTTAGGAGTGGTCCCTGCCGAGTCTTCCTGTGTTCCTAACACAGAACATCAGAGACCAGGGAGTAAGGGAACAGAAGAGGTTCGTTTCTCACTGCTCTTTCCACTCCCACCTTCCCACCCTCCAGGCCCACGTGAGCAGGGCCTGGTCCTCTAGCCAGGAAGACGAGGTGCGCACAGGGAGCCAAGTCTCTCCCTTTGCTTAAGCAGCGGCTCTCAACCCTTTGGGGGTGGAATGACCCTTTCACAGGGGTCACCGAAGACCACCAGAAAACACAGACGGTTACGTTACGATGCATAACATGGGCAAAGTTCCAGTTATGAAGTAGCAATGAAAATGATTTTGTGGTGGGGGTCGCCACAACATGAGGAACTGTATTAAAGGGTCACAGCATTAGGGAGACTGAGAACCACTGGCTTAGAGGTTTAAGTCTTAGTGGTCCAGAACTCGGCAGGAGGAGCTGGAGGGGATTCAGTGGCTTAAGAATGTTTGCTGCTGTTCCAGAGGATCTGAGTTCAGTTCTCAGCACCCACACCAGGCAGCCTGTAAGCTCCAAGGCATCTTCTTATGCCTCTGGCCTCTAAGGACACCTGCACAGATACACGTGCATACAAATAATTAAAAATATTAGTGAGTCCAACAGGAGACTAGAAGAATGTTGGAATATGATCAAGCACCAGGCTCAGGGAGAGGGAGCATGCTGATTTTATTATTATTATGATAGTGATGATGGTGATGGTGATGGTGATGGTGATGATCATGATCATGATCATGATCATGATGATGAATCTCTGTGTAGCCCCAGCTGTCCTATGACTCACTATTAGACCAGGCTGGCCTCAGATTCACAGAGACTTGCCTGCTTCTCCCTCTTGAGGGCTGGGACTAAGGGTGTGTGCTGCCATTCCCAGCTCTGCGGTTAATCTTGATTGATAGCCTGATGGATCTATGCACTGTGGGTATGTCTATGAGAGCATGGCTGTATGGGGTGTCAGGTAGACTCATAGCCTGACTGACGCAGGCCTCCGACCATGGGCTGTCCAGAGCAGGGGGAGAGGGCATCTGAATGGGGTTTCGTAGGTAGAGTAGAAGTGTATTCTGGAGAGGCTCCGCTGGCTGCTTGCCCTGTGCAGAAATGGCAATCACAGCTCTAGTGAGGGAAGTGTGAGTGTGTGTGTGGGGTGACCTAAGGGCAGTTCAGGTGGCTTGATTTTGTGTTGCTTGAGGCCAGGCTAAGGACCAGTATGAAAAAAGATAAGAGGTTCCAGCTCGTGGTTGCTAACTATTCTGATAGTAGGAAGCCACAGTAACAGGTTTTAATATTTTATTTATTGTTATTATATGCTTGTGGCTTGAATGCAGTGGCATGCATACATGTGGCTTACATGTTATTGTGCGTGTGTGCCTCGAATGCACTGGCATGCACACACTGTCAGAACTTCACGGAGTCGGTTCTTTCCTCCCACCTTTATACGGGTTCCTGTGATCAAACTCAGCTTTTCAGGCTTGTGCAGCAAGGCAGCCTTACCTGCTGAGCCAGACCACTGGCTCCAGAGCAACAGTTTTTAAAGATGGCTTAAGCCAGGCCTAGCACTACACACCTGTAATCCCAGCATGGAGGAAGCAGGAAGATCAAGGTCATGGTTGGATACAAAGTGAGCTTTAGGCCACCCTGGGCTACTTGAGCCCTTACAGCAGTGGCTCTCAGCCCCTCTAATGCTGAGACCCTTCAACACAGTTCCTGGTGTTGTGGTGACCCCCAGCCATAAAGTTCTTTTGCTGCTACTTTATAACTGTAGTTTTGCGGCTATGATTTGTAATGTGAATATCTGTGTTTTCTGATGTTCTTAGGTGACCCCTTCGACAGGGTTGTTTGACCTCCCCGAAAGTGTAAAGACCCCACAGGTTGAGAACCGCTGTCTTATAGAGAGAGGGGAAGCAGAGCGGGAGAGAGAATGAGAACACGTTCAATCCATAGATGATGACAGTTAGTGATGAGTGTTGACTGGACATCCAAACGAATCAACCAGTGAAGGAGGGAGAGAAAGCAGGAGATCGGGGGTCCTTTCTTAGAGAGGGTTGTCATTCTGTTTCTTCCTAGACTTCAGGCTCTCTGTTCTGGCTTCCAGGTCAGGAGGTTCTCTGCTCCTGGCTGCTTTCATCATTAAGAACGCCTTCCAGGTTAAAAAAGGAAAGTGCTCTGCTGTTGTCCCTGTGGCCATTCAGCAAGCAGACCACAAGCAGATTCTCGGGAAGAACATGTCAAAAATTAACTAAGTCCTTCCTCCTGGTGTGAAGATCCTGGGTGTGAACTTGGCTGCTCTAGGCCCGTGTGGTGCGAATCCGAGTTGGCATTTCCTGGACTGGGTTTGGGTGCGATGTTGTGGCTGAACGTCTTTGTCATTTCCTCCAGGGTCTACCACCCAAGAGTATGAGCCGCTGAGATGGAGACATCTGTCCCAGCCGCTGCAGTGGAGAAGAAAGGAGCCAAGGGCGGCCTCTTGGAGGACGGCAGCTTCCTGGATCCGGGGAAAAAGGCTTGTCCTCTGGCCGTGGCCGCAGCAGCGGCAGCTGTAGCTGCCCAAGGAGGTACACTTTCTGTTTTGCACGCTTGGAGAGCAGCAGGGGTGTTTTTCATGAGGTCATTAGGATTTAATGAGTGCGCTGGCCCCTGTCATCTGGGAGGCATGCTGGGTTTATGGAGGGCAGCGCCCCTGCCCCGGGAATCCCAGTCCCCACGAAGGTCACTTGCAGCTTTCTTTGGAGAGCTGACTGTCTCCGACTCTGGTGGCTGGGCCCGAGCAGGGAGAGGAGGGAGGGAGGAGAGTCAATACTAGGCAGCTGCCTGGCCACCCCGGGGTGTGTTTAGCTGGCACCCGGGAGATGTATCCTGAGAGCTTCTTGACTCTTGCCCGCTGAGGACTATTTCAGAAAGTAATTGTCTGCCAATGCCTGCTGGCTGTAATTAGAGGGTCAGGTATGGAATTTACTATCTTAGGTGGATTTCTGGCCAACTTAATTACAACAGAAGGGACTCCACAAGCCGTGGTCTCTCATTTCACTGTCCCTAAGAGAGATGTTCTCTGGTTTCCACCGACTGTGCCAGCATCCTGGTTGGGGAGCTTGGCGGGAAGGCGAGACCTCCCCTTGTCGCTGGGCTGTCCATCTGGAGGCCACACAACTATTCTGCCGCCGAGTGAAGAAACCGAGATTTTTCTTCTTTCCCTTTTTACTCAAACCCGTTTAGTTGTGTCCCAACACTTTCTTGCCCGGGTCAAGCACCCGAGGGGCCTGGTTTTAGGGCAGGGCTGAGTCTGTTTCTCTCCAGCTCTGAGCTGATGCTGCAGCTGTGGTCCCTGGGTTGTGCTGGGTGTAGCGGCAGGGGCCAGAACTCAGAGAAACAGAGCTGCCCTTGAGTTCTGCCTCTAAGGAGAGAGTGTAGGACCTCTTAGGTTGTTGTCACGGTATTCATTTCCTTTTCTCCCCACAATTCTAAGTTGGAAGAAAATTATGGAGCCAGAGAGGGAGAGGTGAGGTCCACCTTGAGCAGGGGAGAGGGTCTGAGTGTGTGGGCCTGACTCTTAGGTCAGGAAGGAGGGGCCACAGCCCGATGGGTCACCCAGCGAGGGAGGGAAGAATGGGACCTGATGCAGTGGAGTGAAGCTCTGGCCATGCTGCTTTCCTCTCCTGGGTGAGGTCTTGCTCCAGCAGTGACAGTCCCTTAGGTTTTCTCCCCGCCCCCTTCTTTAAGGCCGGGAGAGTTCCCAGGAGCTAGCTGCCAGTGGCTCCCACTTGTGCTGAGGGATCCGCCCTGACTTGGCCTTCCTCTCCCAAACAAGCCGAGCCATTCCGTGCCCGTCATGCCAACAGAGAGCAGACCTCGGCAGTAATTAGAACGTGATTGTGGGGAGAGAGCCCCTGTGGCATCAGACCCCGTTGTCACGGTTGAGGACAGTGACAGCAGGTGTTTGAGGGGTTTTCTACTGGGACAGGGGGCAGAGCTCGGAGCAGGGCCACTCCAGAGGAGCAACAGCCCCACGGTGCCTGCTCGGTGGCCCCTCAGTGCCCTTCCCAGGGGAGTTTGTCTGAGGAGGTCCTATGTGCATTTGGTTCACATAAGCAGGTGGCTTGTTGGCCAGTGCATGTCTCAGTCCAGTGCATGCACTCAGGAGCCATGCAGAGGCTGGGGTGGCCTCCACTGAAGCATGCTATACCTGCTCCCCAAGCAGCTTATTTGGAAGGAGGGGTGTCCTGGCATCTGGGAAGAGTGGCTGTGCCTGTGTGGGAATGGGGGACACAGTGGGATCTGTCTCTACTGGAGGCGGGTTAAAGGGGAGGGGCAAGGGAGCCCAGTGGTTAAACCCAAAGGACATTGCTGGGACTTGGCTTTCTATGTCATGAGGAGGTCCCACAGATGTTAGCTGCAATCCTCAAGATTTCCAGACAGGGTTGGCAAGATGCCTCTTCCGGTAAAGGTGCTTGCTGCCAACGCTGCCAACCCAAATCCCACCCCCGGGACCCACATGGCGGGAGGTGAGAACCACCAGCTCCTGCAGGTTTCTGTCTGACCCCCCCCACGCTATTGCATGCATGTGTCCCCCTCAATCAATAAATGCCATTAAAACTTGAAAAACTATTCCAAGACCCCACTCTTCCTTGAATACTCTGACAGAGCAGAGGGACCAAGGAAGGTTCCTCTTGTGCAAGTTTCAGTGTGAGGCCCAGCAGGAGGGTGATAAGGATATCCTCAACATACGATAAGGAGTGGGGCCTTGAAGGGTGTCTGCCGGGAGCCAGCCACATTTGCTTAGCCTCTGAGGACTTTGGCTGTCAGCTTGCAACCATATGCTATTGTGTGTATCAGTGGTGAGAATCTATAGGGCACAGGCAGGCACTGTCAGTCTATGCTGGGCTGAAGATGTGGTTGTGTACGTGTTTAGGGCTTCAGGGTCAAGATGAACTGCAGGTGTATGTGAGGCCACAGGTGTGTCCCAGACTGCAGGGCATATATATGGGACTATAGGGGGTATGCTAGGCAGCAAGTGTGTGGGTACCTACTACAGGAGCATGCTGAGCTGCGGGTGCATGCTGGGCTGCAGGTGCATGCTGGGCTGCAGGTGCATGCTGGGCTGCAGGTGTCCGCCTCGTGGCATGTGGGGGCTGCAGGTGTGTGCATGTGGCTGCACATGTGTGCTGGGCTTCAGGGGACAGGCCTGCAGAGAGCCCAGCACCGGTCCCTGAAGCCCCCCTTTGCTGCGTTGTTTGTAGACATCCTGGTGTGAGACAGATAGGGCAGGATTGTGGCACAGCTGACTCCCAGAACTGTCCAGACAGTTGCTTGTACCTTTAAAGCGTGAGACCTTGTTCACACGGCCTGCATCAGGGCATGCAGCCATCTGGCAGGAAGTGATGGGTACGTGGGTCTACGATATCCTGCCTTATACGCATCTGAGGAGGGTTGGGGTGGATGGGTTCTGCCTTAAGACATGGGCAGTTACAACTGGAGGACCTGGTCCTGCAACCTTTCAGTGACTATATGGAGATGCTGGATGCGTCTTGGATTCTGGGTGTCACACATGGAAGGCTCTGGGTTCAATGTCATTATCAGGGAAAAAAATCTATGCGAGTTCTCCAAGTATTCTCAATATCTTCAGAACATTGTATCTGCAAGGTGTGGAGCCCTCAGATACAGAGAGCTGAACTCGGCTTGCTTTTACATTGTTACTTTAGACTGTGAGGGTATGACTGGAGCTGTCATTTTGTCCCCACTATCTCTGGGTGTCAGCCTTGGAAAGGCCTCCTGTGTGTCCTTGTGCCTCAGTGGCCTCCTCTGCCCCAGAACTGGCAGCTCTTGATCGCTTACAGAGAGCTGATATACAGGGTGTGCCATGGCACATTGGTGGAGTCCCTGGCTCCAGTGGCCTCTCTTGTTCAACTTCTAGAGGAGTCCGCAGGCTCAGGGCTGGGAGTTCCTGAAGTGTGGGTCAGAAGCACCTCTCAGGGCTGGGAAAATGCACAAGCCTGAGAATATGGCTTCCATCCCCAGAACCCACGTAAAAAAGCTTGAAGTCGTGGTGCATCCTTGTAATCCCATAGCTAGAGACGGGGACAGGTGGGTCCCTGGAGCTTGACGGACAGCCAGCCTAGTCTGTTCAGTGAGTTCCAGGTGAATGAGAGACCGCATATCACAGAAAAACACGCGGAAAGCACCTGGGAATGGCGCCTGAAACTGACCTTTGACTTCCGTGGCCTGTGTGTGCGCGAATGCTCGGAAACACACACAGAGACAGAGACAGGCAGACACACACACACACACACGCACACGCACACGCACGCGCACGCGCACGCGCACGCGCACGCGCACGCGCACGCGCACACGCACACGCACACGCACACACACACGCACAGCTTTTCGGAGGCAGGGCAGGGCCTGGCGGGTCAGGCAGGCAGGCTGTACTGCAGTCCGGCTGGGAAAGGCCCCCTTCAGGATGGGCGGGAGACGTCCCAGGAGCCTGAGCAGGAGCCACGCTGGGTGGCTTTCACAGCCTCTTCAGCTGTTGAGCTAACACTCTAGAGGCCATAAATCTTTAAAAATACATTTTGGCCCAGGGTCCCCCCACCCTCTAATTTTTAAAATGGTGTAATTTGCAAAGCAATTTAAGTCAGATGTTTCTCGTTGCTTTCCACCGAATCTGTCCAAATGCTGTCGTATTTTCCTCGTCTGCCACGGATTCTTTTCCAAAAATATTTCTGAACTGCTTTGTGTGCTTCCACGGGGACTGGACCATTCTAGAAACCTTGGGGATAGCCTTGAAGCTGGGAGCTTGAGCCTGATCTCCTGTACTGAAATCAAGCCCCCAGTCCAGTTTCAGGAACCCGAGGGCTAAGGACAGTGACGAACCCAGGCAGCCAGCCATTGCGGCCGCTCCTCTCCCACAGCATCAGTACCCCATAGGAATTAGAAGCGTTTCCCCCTTTTCCACTGGTTCCGGGAATGGAACTGCTAGCCTCTTGCTTGCTAAGTTCTCAGTCTATACTGAGCTGGTCCCAAGACTCCAGAAGCGCTAATTCTTGGGTCCCACCCCAGACCTACAAAACTGGGGGTCTCTGGGGTCAGCACCGCGGGCCCAGTTTAAGCAAAGCTTCTGGGAAACTCTGATACATTCACTTTCATCGCCCTCTCTGCCCACCCCCCATGCCCCTCGGGGGCTGTTTTATTTCCTCTCTCTCTCCTTTCCTCCCCTCCCTGTCTCTCCCTCCCTCCCTCCCCCTCACCCCCTTCCTGTCTCTCTTCTTCCCAGCTTTTCTCCCCTTCCCTTCTCCCTCCCATTGAGTGTGCAACCCAGGACTTCTTGTTTTAAACTTGCTTAATATCCCCGAGCCACACCCCAGCCCTGAGACTCTTAATGTCTGAGACTCTCATGTCCTGGCTTCCTGAGGGGAGCCGGGTGTGTGTGTGTGCGAGGCAGTGGCTGCTCCTAGAGGAGCTGCTAATGGTTCACACCTGTCCCATGGTGCTTCATGGCAGTACAGGGTACTGGCAGCAGTACCCGTACAGTGAAGCTAGACTGCTTGGACAAGCCTACGTT